TATGGTTCAACAGCCTAAGGTTGAACCATAAACATTCACTAGCTTTGGAGCAAGCACTCTTATTTAAAATGCTGTATTATCCAACATAATTTGTATACATTCCAGACAAACTATCATAGGTATTGTTGAGGTACTGTAATACATTCCATTTAATTGTACACATTAGTATACATAAATATCCTTAAAAATGTGGTATTTTTAATTACTTTTGACAATAATAAATAATTCTTAGTAATTGTTAATGTCGTGATGGAATAATAGACAATAACTGGTTTTGCGTCAGGAGAAACATGTATAGGTGTAATTTTTGCCCTACCTGACCTCAGCCCTACTGAGTATTCGGTACATTTCCACGTCAGGTAGGGCAAAAATTACACCTATACAAATAAATAATTCAACAATGTTTCTTCTTTCATATCAGTTTAATAATTATAAAATAATAAATGTTCTTTATCCACACAGTTCTATTATGCAATAAATCGATACCAATGAACTGAAATAGAATTATTGGAGGCAATAAATTGAGAGTAATAACAGAACAAATCGAGTTGCATTGTTGCTGTCTGATATACTGCCACAAGGAACCTCAACAAGACATGTAATCAGTTGGTGTTCTGTCCATGTCATAAGCATTGTGAGCACAGCTGACCCAGAGTACATCAATCTGACAAAGAAAACAAAGGGTTTTTTTTTTAGTTTCTCACTAAATTATTTGAAGTACAAAAATAAGTAAATTGGCAATGTCTCGCACTGACTATCCTCCTCTGACCTCAGATATTAGACAGTGACTCTATGTGCTTCATATAAAATTATAGAAATTATAGGAAAGCTCTTGAATGCAATAATGCAACAGTTGTTTTTCTTAATACATTTAGGGGGTGCGATTGCACTGTTCTCTGCACCCCTTCTGCATTTGCACTAGATGGTGTGAATAAAAACATTCAGTATCTGTATACAGTAATTGATGCCGTGATGTGAAAACGGTTTATAACACACCTCAAATAGATCTTTGTCATTTGATACTTATAAAATTTTAATGATATACCTTTTTTCTATCATCTTTTAACCAATGAAAAGATTGTATTAGATCCAGTTATACCAAATCCACCAATCAAATGACAAGGATCCATTTAGGTGTGTCAAAAAAACTGTACACTCAAAAAGCCTGTTTTCCATACAATCGCTACATGCTATTGCCGACAGGATTCAGTGCTGATTGCTTGGTCACATTGTAGTACTCAGTACAATGATGGTAATGAAAACACTGTAGCGATAGTGTAGTGATTTTAAGAAAACAAGGCTTAATGGACAAATTAAGCCCAATTGTACCTTTGTTGTTTACTATCTGCATTTCTCCATGGTCACCTTGTCTGATTTGTTTCCTCATTGATGAAAAACCTCAATTTATTTGGAAGAATTTTAACATGTACCGGGTATGCATCAAACTGTTCATTATCAATGCTGAAGAAGCTGGCCTATAAAAAAAAATAAAAAAAGATTTATTATTGTGACAGAAAGATGACACTGTTTGGGAACATTGTGCGCAATTATGAGGCTATGACAACAGTAGTCAGCAAACTGTCATTACTTTTAGTCAGCCAATGGGATGGATTCCACAAGTAAAGCCCTACCCATATATATTCATCATTACCATTTTTGGCATGTCACACGTTTTTGTCAAATACAGTATAACTTGATAATGTGGATGGGACTAAATAGGCAACAGCTTATTGTTAGTATTGCTATGCTAAGTACAGTGTTTACCTCTGGCTCCACTGGTGTCAACTTAAACTCACCAACTTGCAATGTTTCACTTTGGATCTCAGATTTATTGTCTTTTGCCTTAGATACTCTCCTCCAACTATATAAAAAATTCATGTCAGAAAATGGGTCATTGGAGAAAAATGCAGTGATGTATCTAGTGGAGAGGGTGGGGCTGCACCCCCAAATTCCCATCCCCCCCCCCATTGAAAATATTTGATATTTTAAGCAAAAAATCAATGCGAAAGTAGAAAAAAAATCACCTCATATCACCTTATTTTGCGAGATAGCGTCCCCTTACTTAATCACCAACCCCCAGTTCACTTTCGTGCCCCCCTCCTCCACCCCCATGATTTCAAGACTCCTAGATAAGCCACTTGAAAGATGGTTAAGCAGAGACTAGCTAATTGAACTCTGTAGATTGTAAGGATACTGCCCTTTCAATTCCAAGATTCCTGAATTAAAAATCCTATCAAAAGATACAACTCCCTCAGACTGATTTAAGGACTTGCAAGATTGTAAGACATTAGGTCTCTTTTGGAGAGCTGGTTACACTGAATAAACAAACAAAATTTATATCAATAATAATGTTTCATAATAGTTGTACTTTCCTTACCCTTCTTTGATGAAGCCTGTTTTTGTGATGTCAGTTGGCAGGGTCTCTATACTCATGGGAAAAGTACAGTACATAATATTATATCAAAAGCAACTACCAAAACATTACATCTTAGTGCAAGGAGTATGGTAGTAAATATATCCCATATCTCGTCTGTATATGATACGCGACATTCCTATGCACTAGCACTGCCTCTTGGCACAGGTGAAGGTTGACTTATTTCACAGGGGTCAAAAGATTCCGGAAATGAACCCATCCCCCCAGATCTCCCAGAAATGACTTCTTCCGACTTTGGACCCCTGTCTTCATATTATGTTTATGTTTGTTCACGTTTTTTTTTACCTTTAAAGCATTTTCTACATTATCATTATGTGTTTCAGCAGAGAACTCAAGCATTGATACATCAACCTCTTTCCAAGGAATCTCCTCAACTTCTTCAATTTCTGGTTCTAAGAAATTCATGGAGAAAAGAAATGTTCTAGTTAATGCTTCTAGTACAAGAGCATTTTTCCTTGGGTGAGCATATATTTTTTCAATATATCCTTCACAATAGAGAATAATCAACAAATATTTTTTTTTCTTTAATAAGGCTATTTTAAATTCAGTATATTACTATTGTACAATAATAAAATTTTGGGTTTTTCTCCACTGGTCACTTTCAAAATACCTTTTTGCTCTGTTCTCCAAATCCAAGAGAACAAGCGACTAAAGAAACTATACTGCTGTTGATTAACCTCTGGTTCTTCAGGAACATCTACAGGTGGACGATATGCAAGATGAGCTTTAAATACAGGTGGCCATTCCTATTTAGAAAATAAATTTGTATCACTGCGTGCTTAAAATTCAATTTCTCAAAACTAAAGTGATTTTAACCACAATTGTAAAAACTATAAATTGTTATCATAATTCATTGGTTGATTAACCCCTTGAGTTTGAGCTTCTTTATTTAATAAACAAGGAAATCATTTCTAAGATGAATCATTAAAATCATTGTTGCAATTGTTAAATTTACATCAATAAATTTTATAAATATTATTAATATTATTATTATTATTATTATTAATATATTTACAATTTGTTATAAAATGATTACATTAAAATTGAGTATCAAAGAATAGCTTTCTTACCTGAACAGTTGCAAAAACATATGCAAATTTGGACTTTAGTGGTCCTAAGTACCAATACCTGTAGAAATCAGAAAGTATTTAATTTGGTAAAAAGTATTTAATTTGCTTTGATATTACTGTACAGAATCCCTGACATATCCAAGACATATGTAACTATAATAATATGAATGTGTGTACAAAAGTATTATTTACATCAAGCAAGTAGTGTATATACTGTAATTTATATCAATGCTTACTTGGGAATTCTATCTCGTACATTTCTGTATTCGCCCCATTCCAACTTTTAGGCCAAGTTAAAAAAAAAAGTAGTTTCTTGTCCTAATATTTAAAAAAGGGAGAATAAGGGCACTTTTTTTTCTTTACACCAAGATGACAAATCTAAGATGGTCAATGGAAAACAGCTACTAAATAAACATTTAAAACAAATAAAAGAAGCACTGGACATTATTCATACCATATTATTTTTAGAAAAAAGTACAGTAACTTGGATCACTGCATTTTAAACTTTTCTCATGAACCCACATTCACTATGAGACATATACAGTAACTGGTGACCTGACTGGTGACCTACCAGGTCAGAAATAAAAAGTTTCTACTCAAGTCACCGTCAATGAAGAAAAAGAATCAAACTTGCCTTAATTATTTCCACATTGATACCAGCTAGATGCAACAGAGGAGCAGCATTCTTCTCAAACAGCTTTTTAGATTTCCTTTAAAATAAAACAAGAAAAGTCAGGCAAATTTGATTAAAGATAAAATATTTAATTTTGTTTTCTTGTCTTGGCAGTTTGCAAACTCACCCCTTTCTGGCAGCAGGATTTAATATGATTGTTACTTTTCTTGGTTTGCTCACAGTTTGAATGGTTTCTTCCCCATATATCTGTTATAAAGAAAAAACCATCTGAGAATTAATGGGTGTATTCGACTGGTTCATTTCGTTGACTATGAATTTTGTTTGGATTGTTTGCTGTTGCATTGATATTCAAAGTAAATACATGATTAACATAATACAAACAACTATTATTTACGTAAAAAAAAAAATGAAAAAGAAAATAAAAAGACAAAAAAATGTAATTATTTTCCAAAAACACTTTTTTCCCCAAAAATACATATTTTTCAATACCATAGAAGACATGGTGATACTAATATTTTTTTATTGGGCCTAAAATGAAAATAAGTTAGACTTACTACTGCTTGTTTACAATAATCTGCTCGTATTTCATTTGCTCTGAGAAAGGAAAGAAAATCAAATGAGTGTAACTAAGTTTTCCAACATTATTATTATTAACATGTTTTTGTTTTGCAATTTTTTAGCTGGTACATTACTTTCTAAACTCAATTTGACTGATGCTGTATCACAGTACATAATATTTATGACAATTGTAAACTTGCCAGCCTAGTAATATTAAACAGTGTTTCACTCTTTCTTAACAATATTAATCAATTTATTGGATCCACATTTGAAACAGAGCCACTCATTCAAAATGCATGCATGCATGGTGCACAGGGGCGGATCTAGAATTTTTCAAACAGAGGGCACAACAGCTTCAGAATACCGGTAGGTAAGTGAGTAGCACATAACATTGATTTGCATTCAAAATTTAGTGGGTAAACAGGGATACATGCCCCCGACTGGATCCACCCCCCCCCCCCTGCACCCATATTAAACAAACATATAAAAATAACTGTAATTAGTACTACTATTCATATACTACTAGGGCACAGGCCTTGTAGTAGGCCTAGTCTAAAACTCTAGGCATAGGTAGGCTTCAACTAACTAGGCCTAGCCTATAAAATTCATTTAAAATTACAAAATACAAAGTGAAGCTGAATGCCTACATTGAGGTACTGCTAAAATTACCAAGAATATAAATAGCAACAATTTTAGTTTTGCAACACAAAAGATTCAATCCCATTAGCCATACACTCAGCCTAGGCTAAGTAGGAGGTTAGCGATGCTCAAGTAAAGAAGGTAGCCTGAAGAACTCATTCATCCCGGCCAAATGCATTTGTTCGTAACGTTGGACAGGCCTGAAATGAATGCAGAGTTATTATTTGTACATGAATCAACCAGTTTAAAATAAAAACTAACTTTATTCTGTCTCTCACGTAATAAATTCCATATGAACCCACCAATACAAAAAACGTGGTCTTTTTCCAATTATTTCTCAGAGTTTTAGCGATCTTCACAACTCTCTGGGCCATGCTTGGTGGTTTATGAATGATTTGATGTTGATTTTTTGCAGCGTCTAATGACACAGCGACCGGCTGTTTTAACTTTTCTTATCGTGTCTATATCCCTTTTTGTTGTTGCGATATGACGGTCACACCTGAGGGCGCACTCCAATGTTAGGCGAAAAACAAGATTTAAGAAGATTACAATGTTTTTCAGCCTGACTTCAGTTCTAAGTATCTGAGATGTGATTTGATATTGATTTACAGTTTACAATAATTGTTAGTATACATAATTAATTATTATCACAAATGTTATGTTAAATTGATAGTCTAGGGCTCTGTCGAGTCTTTATTATTAGTATTATTAAGGCTAGGCTAGCCCTCCTAGCTAGGCTAGCTAAGTGGGGCCTAGGCTAATACTAGGCCCTAGGTAGAGGAGACCAAGCCAATAAGGCTAGGCCTTAGGCCTAGTCAAGGTCGAGAGGGCGCTTTACGCCTTGCCTGCTGCTACTAACTACCAGTGACCACTGGACATAGGACTAGTGCCCAGCTAGGCTAGACAGGGTCAGGGAGACTAAGGCCTAGCCTAGTCTAAACCTATCATAAGAATTAAGATAGGTCGTGCAGGCCCTAAATAAAGCAGTATTAAATAAAGCCTAATAATATCAATAAAGGCCCACGGTAATAATAACGCTACAAGCGTTATTTTATGTCAATATCTTGGATCGGTAATACCCCTTTTTTCCTCTTCTTTATCTCATTCACTTTCCCCAGTTTTTCGTCAAACAACTTTCATGTGTCTTAGAAAAGTCAGTTCTACAACATATCAACAAATATTTTGCCTCCGGAGCTACAGTCGACCTTAATGTCCTCAAAAGGATTTTTTTTTATTCAGCTTTATATGCCAAACAGTGAATATTTCAAAGTGGCAATCCCATCACAAGAGAACAGTGGCTGTATTTACTAGTACACACCCCCTACTCATCTCAAAATATGTACTGGGTTCTTTGAAGTGCACATGAGTCAATTATGTACACTAGGCATACGGTTTATAGTCTTTGTTGGAGAAGACGTGTTCTACCTCCAGAACCATAGCCGAGCATGCTGTTTGAACCAGCGCCGATATTGTGGTTGCAGGCACCTGCCTTAACCGCTTCGCCGTTTGACTTGCCTAAGATATTTGTTTTTATAGTAAATGGTATGTAAACCACCTGTACAGTAATTTTTTTTATTGTTGCTATTGTCATTGATTCCATTTTTGATGAGCATTTCAGTTTAGGTCTGCAGACAGTTCCTAAATGGAATCCTTTTTTGAGCTGCACTGAAGCGTTGTTTATGTTTTGACTTTATTTTCATTTAAAAGGATGTTTAACGGTTGCAGAAACTGAACCATGCTTCGTGATTCAAGAGATGTTTTCAAGGCCCCTGGTATCGTATATGATACATTAAGATAAAATGTTTTTTTTTCAGGAATCTGTACGCCACATTGGAGCGCTTGGCAACCTGAGTGGTCTAGGGAGCTTAGCTCAATCATTAACACAGACTCAACAGCAAGGATCATCGGATGATGACTATGATGCTTTCAAGGATGATGGTAAGAGAGGATAATTGTGTCATTTAAATATTGATGGAGAGTAATGAATATTTCACAGATAATTGTTTAACTATTTTAAGTAGTGTAGCTTTTAACATTTAGTGAATGTTTCCTATTGTATACTCAATGACATTTATTTTAATTAATGTTTTTTGGTAAGCTTTATTTTTGTTAGGATACATTTTAGTTGGTTTCTAAAGAAGAAGATCACTGCTTGAATGACAGCTTGTGAAATAATAATTAAAGTTTGTTTATAAAGTACATTAAATACATCACAATCAATCCTACAGTAGTCAATGTTCTATTACACTTATTTTTTTTTTTTTATTACAATTTGATTTCTATTTTTGTTATTATCAGTGGTGTAACCAAGATTTTAGGAAGAGGGTTGCTGATGGAAGTCATGGTTGGCTGTGACGTTAGAAAATTTTAAGAACTTGAGACTTTTAATTGCGGGAAGATGGCACATAAATACATAAAATCTACAAAATTTCTATATTGTTGAAGCCGGGGTGAAGTAATTAAAGAATTGGGGACTTTTAGATACCGGAAAATGGCACTTCTTAAATTTGTTCAAACTCTGAAAGGACCCCGAGCACTCCCCTGGATACACTGCTGATTATTAATGCAATTTAGTTAGTGTTCTAGATGAAAGTGAATGCTGTTGTTGCTGCATTTTATATAATAGTTTCTGTTTTACTTTGGATCATTGCAGATGATGAAAGTGTATCAAGTGCAGCTGTTGATTATTCTGATATCACAGAGGTTGCCGATGACGACGAGGAGATGGCGCTGGGCATTCAACCATACATGGGTACTTACATTGCCCCAAAGAGAGGTATGTAGGCCAAAGTGAAACTTAAAATTGTATAAGAATGAGCTGTATTTTTATTGTGAAGCTTTAAATACATGATTGTATTTAATGCCCTGTCTCATGTTTTATTTGACAAAAACCAGTGACATACCTAAATATAGTCATGATGACATCACATTATGACCATATATAGGTACATCATGACTATATAAACTAGATTCCAGTCCATAAATTTTGTCTTAATTAGTAAAACCTATTAAAGATTAATCGATTTTGGCACCATTGTCATTCCTTATTATTTCTTTGTGTGAATGATGTTCCATGCTATACTTTTTAAGGATTTTTCTTGATATAAACAGATACCGGTTGTGCTCTCTGAAAGTTTTTAACACTAGGAAAAATCAATAAATTAGAGACTTGTGGCAAGTGTAGATGTATAGGCATGCAACAGATTTTTGTCAAGTAATATTTGACAGTCTGGATGTCTGGACAAAGTTTAATAAAAGACTATAACCTTTCAGATGACGATGATGAGAATTATGATGAAGAAGGTGAAGAGGAAAATTCAAAAGATGCTACCTTGATGCCCCCACCACCTTCAGGACCATCACCAACTAATGATGCCAACATCATCTCTCCAACATCTGGTTCATCAGACATTGGTAGTGGCACTGACTCTCAATCATTGCATGTGGATGTGGCTGTGCTTCAGGCAGAACTGAATAATCTCCGACATCCGACAGAGGAAGACGTGCATCAAGACTTTATTGGTTCTCCATTCGGAATCGAAGACTCTCAGTCAAACTCTTTTAGTTCAACCAACTCAAGACAGTCAACCAGTTCCAGAGAGGATAAGACACCATCCAGAAATTTTGAAAACCTAACTTCCAGAATGGATTTGGAATCCAGTATAATTTTACCATCTGTCGTTCCTGCAACCTCATCAAGAAGCTCTCCCAGTGATTCTGAAGGAATATCAAAATCTCCATTAGAGCAACCTCTGGATAAGGGTGATGGTGAGACAGAGGCAGGTGATAGTAAGACAAAAAGAACTGAAAACTCTGAAGATCAATTACTGAAGCATTCCAGTAAAGGGTCGACAAAAAATGTAGATTCACAGACAACGCCGAAGAAAAGAAAAATGCCAAGTGTTACCGAATTGTTTCCAGAATTCAAACCAGGAAAGGTAGGTATGAAAATTGATACATATTCAATAAAATAATGCTTCTTCACATGTAAAATCATATAAATAAGAAATGAAACAGTCAATATATTTGCTTCAGAATAAAATATTTAATTTATGAATACTTTTGAGCATAGGTCATCATCAGGTATTAATTGAAATATGGAAGAACATAAGTGACGAGAATCTGTATACAGAATGAGAGTCCTTTAAAAATCGTCAACAAAAAAGTATTTCTGATATTTAGTGCTCAATACTTAGCTGTAGAGCGTTGTATGATTATTACTTATCAGGCCTCGTTTTTTTGTTTTATTTTTACTAGCCAACTGGGCTAGTTCAATGCAGTTTCACTAGCCCACAGGCTATTTTACTAGCCCAATTATTGGCTATACAATACTCCATTTAACACACATTACCATGTTCTGATAGGCGGGCGCATTGCCTGTCGCTGGATTTTCAGGGTTGCAAAGGTTTATTTTCCATTGGGTTTTCCATGTGACATTCGGTAATTTTACAATCAATGGACGTTTAACCCTCCTTTATATTTATCATTTATTTTACTAAATCAAAACTACCGTACAAAATATTATTTGATGAACAATCTTTTCACATGTGTGTATTTTAATTGAGGGCATCTTTTTTTGACAATTAAAAGAGGTAAAAACATGCTTTTAAGCTCTTCTGTTTCTACAGAATAATGAAATTTAGTATCATTACGTAGATTTTACAATATAAGTTAAACAAAATAGCGAGGTACGCGTACCGGAGAAATCCTGTTGATCATTGTGAAGGTAGACTATAGGGTATTAATAAATGCCTGAAGTATGAGACGCTGATGGTGTTATAGATTCAAGTATTTATGTCCTTGTAATTGTATCCTGAGCATTGAGTAAGAAAGGACCTCAGTACAGTACATAGGCATAATCAAGAAGCAGTGAATTTCTGTTTCATTATAAAATTAATCAATTAGATTTGATTATTGGCGTATTGGCTTTCAGATTCTTAATTAATGCTAGGGGCATAGGCCAAGGGCCTAGTTAGGCCAGGGGCCTAGTTAGGCCAGGGGCCTAGTTAGGCCAGGGGACTAGTTAGGCCAGGGGCCTAGTTAGGCCCTGGGCCTAGTTAGGCCCTGGGCCTAGTTAGGCCAGGGGCCAGGCCTATAAGACAGGCCTAGGTCCACAAAGAATACTAGATAATGTTTTGGTCAGGGCTTGGGAGATGTGGCACAGTTGGACTATTTTAAAACACAGAATCGTTTCTATTGGTTTTTTTTTCCACTTTTTTTTAATCAGAGAAGTATGCTCTACAATGGCAGATCCTATTTGCTGGAGGGGAGAAGGTGGGGTGGGGTGTGGAAAGACTATGCAGCAGTCAAATAAATCAGTAGCCACGAGTGTGTCATGAATTATTAAGAGGTATAAATCGGGGAACTTCTTCACGTTAGCCTGGAAACACATGCATTTGCCCCTGTTCTGTAGTGGTAGGGGATGCTACGCCTCACAACCCCACCCTCCTCTGGCCCACCCCCTCCTCCGTCCCAGTAGCCAATACCTAATAATTTTTTCTCCGGTTTGCCCCTGATCCATTTCTTTTCTTGATAATATTTATATTTATAGAAACAACTTTTTTTTATTTAGGTACAGTACTTTGTTTTTATCGTTTGTTTGAAACAAAGAACACAAATGCGCTGCCTCAGCTTTGGCGTGGTGCCAAGAAGAAACGTAAGAAGAAACGACCTGTTGACGGATCCGACCTGTTGAGTCCCACAAAGAAATGTGGCTTTGACTTAACTATGCTCCAACGCCTCCACCGGAGCAATGCATGTCGGATGACGAGGTACACCTCTTTCTTATAAGTAACTTAAAAATTTCTTATACAATGCAAACATCAAGTAAAAGTATTAGAAGTTGTTTAAAACAAGTATATTTTGGTAAAATTTGTGCAAAAATGCAATACTGAAAACATAAACATTTCTTGGCAATTAAACAAAATATTGATTGAGTATTCCACATGAAAAATACCAGTAGGCGTATTTGAAGTGCCATGAATTTCACAAGATGGATACTGGTGCTATAAAAGTGCTAATTTGATGTTAATTATTATATAAGTCAGTCGTGATGGCATCACTGAAACTCACAATGTTGTTTTCCTATCCCCAAC